ATGGCTGGCCGCGGCAGATGACCTTGTCTATCCGGGTCTCTTCGAGATCTTCATCCGAACGATCTGGTGAGTGAATTCTATTATTGCCCTTTCGATTCTCCGATTAGCTGGTTCACCGATTCTCTCAACTTCCTCGTTTCGTTTCCCACCGATTTTCACGGAACACTTACGGGCAATTTTCATAGAAGAATGCGGTCCGTAATCCGGTTTACTTCCCTTGACACATTCCCAGCTAGACAAGCTGTACTTGATCTGAGAATTTCTAATGGCATTTCTAAAAATATATCGCTAGAATGTAACGTTTCGTGTGTGCAAATGTGGTAGGTATGTTAATTATGCGTTATCGATTTGATCGTAAATGGGACCGGGAAATGCCAACTTCTGTCAATTATTCGCGAGATTTCAAATGCAATTTTCGGAAGATGCTATTGTTAAGGTATTAATATTTCATTCGCGTGACAATCACACGTCATTTATAACGAGTGTAAAGAGAATTCGTACCGCGATCGACGTCGATAAATATAATTTATGGAACTTTGTTTATTGCAAAAAGAAATGTCAATAAATGCACACGTATTCTTGGAAATTTCAAGAACGAGTTTCGTTAAAAATAAATCGTTTATTTATATTTTCTATGGAAATATTGACGAAACCCTTGAATGGATATAACGAAGTACTCGTGGAAAGAAAATATTGTTTGACGATAATCGTGCAATCTGTTGATTTATGTCAAATATCGATGATGCTTTAATGGGACTTGGAACGTTGTTCGTTATTAAAATTTATAGTTTTATTCATTCGTCAAACGGATATAACGAAGAAAAGATATACTTTCCTCGTAAATGTTGTAATTTGCAAATCAGTGTCAATGTTTCACGATATTTTATAAGTAATATTTATTTGATTTTACGAAATATCCCGAATATCGTGTTGAATACACTTCCATCCAGGAGTCGCATTTAATTTCTTAATCGTCCGAATTGTCCGAATTTTCTAAATATCACGTTCACTGGAAATTAAAATTTCAATGATGCTATTACCTTCGATATAACGTTTGTGAACGTATAAATAACAGTACGCGTCATCAACATATCAAACTGAAATTCATAAATATTAACTCGAGCTTCTTCGTTTCTTCTTCGAGTGAACCTATGTAAATCATTTTTACGCAAATACGTAAGTACACATGAAGCCAGGTATGCATATAACTGCACGTATGATAACGCTTTCCGAATAAAATTCTTCATTGTTTACGGAAAATGAGTGATTTGGCTTTCTACCAACGTGTATTTTGCAACAATAATATACGTAAAATGCGACGTACAGATGCGTATGCGAATTGCCGATTCCGGACTTTATAAATAACCATATTTTTCTTGTTAGTTCTATTTTGCAACATCATTTTATGCAGCCACGAAAATGATAGAAAACAAACTTTCAAGTATATTTTACGTAAAATAAGATTTCCAGAGAGTAATTATTATTTTTCATTTTATTTTATTTTATATATATTTAATTCGAGTTGGACAAAGAATTTTAATATCCAGAGTACTACCGTAAGAATTTTCATATCAGTTGGTTTAGGTATGAAACCGATTAGGTTATTATTTAGAAATGTTCGAAAGCGATTAGCTTTCTTTTAAGTATATTTTACGTAAAATAAGATTGCGAGAAAGTAATACCAATTATTATTTTTCATTTTATTTTATTTCATTTTATTTGTATTTAATTCTAGTTAGACAAAGGATTTTAATATCAGAAGTACTACGGTAAGGATTTTAATATCAGATTAGGTATGAAATCGATTAGGTTATTATTTAGAAAAATTTTCAAAAGCATAAAGAGTACCAGAGAGTAATACTACCCAATTATTATTTTTCATTTCATTTTATTTTATTTTATTTTATTTTATCTTATTTTATTTGTATTTCATTTGACTTAGAAAAGGGATTTTAATATCAGTTTAGGTAAGAAACCGATTAGGTTATTATTTAGAAATGTTCCAAAACGATTAGCTTCCAGCTAAGAACAGATCCATAACTTTCAAATACTTAAATCAAATTTGGATTTATAACGACCATAATTCCTAATCGTAATTATTCTCAATAAATCTGTGAAAATACCTTTATCTCGAGTTTAGGACCTCCTCGATCTATACTCTATTGATTCTGTTCACAGGTTAATCCTACTTGGAACCGCCTGTGCCAAATATTACAATTACACATGGAGTTGTTCATTAGGCGGAGACTTGGTTCGCGTGTACCTCATAGGGGAGATTACGTTCCTCGTCATCTCTATACTTTTCATGCTCATCATCGTCAAGCAGAGCGCAAAGGGATCTATCATGGAATTGCACGCTCGTAAATATG